GATCGGGGGGCGGTATTATTTCCCTCCCAAAACGAAGTGTTGTGGGTTCGTAGGTGCTGTTTTTGTCCTAATCGATACCCACTTCCCTCTGTACTCATTGTTATTGCCTTTCATCGAATTGATTGCCATCCCTTGGACGATGGTAGCGCCCCACTGACCTAACACCTTGTGTAGCGATTGCGGCAGCACGGAGCGTTAGTACCAGAAGAGGGGGTTCCACTACCAGACACGTGGCGAGGACAAACGTAAGGAATGAGCCACCAGGCTGAGGCCATCCACGTCGGATTCCGAGCGACGTCGGAATTTGATTCGGAAACAGGTCCCCACGTGGGTACCTTCGCCTTTCAACTCTAAAAGATGGCGGGTAGCCCTCATAAAAGTTCAACGATACTTTGTGGATTGAATGGATATAGCCACGCACGGTCATTGGTTTCAACATTTTCCAAAAATTTCTCCTCTTTGTAAAATGGGACGCTGGACCCGGTTTCCAGCAGGTGACGCTACCCACCAATAGATGGAGCCTCTCCTCCGGTGCTAAAAAAAAAAAAAAACCAAAAAAAACTGCGCGCACTTGTCCCTTCCCCCCCGACGGTGAGCATTTCTCACTAAACTGTAACCACACGGGGGATTTCAGTTTCGTCTGTGTGCCCACACTCAATTTCCCCCAAATCCTTGGCACACCCCATTTTGCTGTCTTCGAGGGCCTATTCTACACAACTTATCACTCCAACTGGACAGCGGAGGGTGTGAGGTTGAACGTCACACAGTTCTAATCCCACTGCCATTCCCACTCTTCAAACCTGTCCCCATCATGATGGGAAGCCCACCAATTCGAAATGCGCCTTGAAGTCGGGCAATCCCACCGAAGATGGGTGGTGGACTCAAAGGGCCAGACATACCTACTGTAGTTGGGTGGATTTCCATTCCTTTTCCATCCAACCATATGGCTCAAGGAGTCATCAGAAGGGACAGAGGATTGCTGCATGTCTTTGAGAAGGGAGGGTTTTAAGTTGAACCCACAATCTGCAATGCATATTTACCCCTAGAGAAAAGGGAAGACAAACTACTGTCTGGTCCAAGTCGCCCTCTGAAATAGCATGGTGATAGTCCTGAGTAGCTGGGCTACCAGCCATGCCGCCCGAGACGCCCGGCTGGGCAACTGTGCCGGGCGGGGCCCTGGCCCATATCCCACCGAAAAATAAAAAAAATCATTTTTTTTTTTTGAAACAAAAGTATGCAGAATAGCAAACCAAGCAACTTTTTGGTTGAGGGTCACTTCCAAAGTCTTCATAGAATTTGAAATAAAAATAAAATAACATAAGGAAAATTATCTCACCCCCTTTAAAGGCCTTTCAACCCCTGTCAAGCCCCTTTAAGACCCTTACCCCCCCCCCCCAACCCTCCAAAATGACATGAATAAAAAAAAAAGGAGGACCGGATTTGGGTCCCTTTCGGAGGGCGAAAAAATGCCGCATGATCAGGGAAAAGAAAAAAAAAAAGTTTGGACTATTGTTTTTTACTCGTTTGGGTGACCCGGGCAAGAGGGTCCAAGCCGCAGTGATCTGGCAAACTAGCCAGGCGGCCGGGCCCGTGCGGGTCTGGTAGCCCAGCTGAGTAGACAATACTGAGGTGAGATAGTATGGATAGGGGTGCGCTAGGAGTTTTGAGCGAGGACGGGTAGGGAGGTGGTCGTATGGAGAATAAGGGAGAGTCAGGACAACCAATAGCTGTGTCAGCAGTCCCGTGTATCCGGAGTCTATCGATCAAGCGTTCGCATGAACAACAGTATGTCAAAGTACGACTCACAGACCAGACAAAGTGAAAAGCAAGACAAAGATAGAAAAAGGCAAGATGAAGACCATGCAAGAATACAAACCGACATGAAGACGACACGACCCAACTGACAGGTATCCCCGAACGCGACTGTATATTAAGATAAAACATGAAACACAGTAGCGGATTTGACCCGACCGGTTTCGCCTAGCCGCTCACTAGGCTCATCAGGGGTCTTCAATCGGTTTGACGCACACACTGACTGTTAGGACTAATATACTATTTATCTAAGTTACAGCCAGCCTACCGTCACTTGAACCGACAACTTCTAGAAAAAATCTCCCACCACTTGAAATTGACTCAAACCCGGCTGCGCTCACAAAAAAACCTTCGAAACGGTTCTACAGAAAATCCTACAGTCCCTAAAAAACAGAGGCCTATTACGGCTCACGGTACCTCAGAATCAACTCACATATTCTTGAACAAACCCTTCACGACTTCTTGAACAGATCCTTCGCAAAACCCAACAACCCTTACTGGACAAAAGCGTCCAGATCCACACCCCTTACCCCATCTACAGAGGAACAATCATGTTGAACCATTGCATAAACACGTCCAGAACCAGAACCAAGCCCCTATCACGAGGGCAATCATATCGCTGAAAACTCCAAATTTAAACCGGTGCCTCCTACACCAAAGGCAAGCAGGACCCATGCTATCCGATCCTCAATAACGAATCTCAATTGGTTAACACCGAAATCCATTGCCTCTACAATCCTGCGAACTTCCGTGAAAAATTTATCAACATCTCATCGAAAAAATCGTCCGGATACCCCCTTCGCCATAACTCACACTTAAGGGAGAACAAGAAGGGTATCACTAACTCTTCAACTGACGAAAAAACCTTTCAAATTGCCCTATACAGGAAAGATGATATCACCGCCTTCTTTTGCTACTTGCTTGAATATGAGACGAAGTCTTGAATGCACTGAAACTTCAGTTTACTATTAACGTCCTCCTTCTGGTTCTTAGTCATAGGGAAGCAAAGCACACCAGTTGCCCCATCGAGCACCTTCAAAACACACCCCAGATAATCCCAACTATCACCAAAACTTGTTCGTTCTAAGGTCAGATTGGTATCATTACACCACCTAAACGAACTAATCAAATCAAATCCTTTCCGAAGCGAACACCTGTCCTTCTTTTTACACACCACGAATACGGACACATCGTCGACCAGCCTGCATCCTCTGAAAAATTTCTGATCATTGCCCAAGCCAGACAAAAACCTATACTCATCGAACGCACACAAAAGGCAGGCTAACGCTGGGCTTGTCTACTTTCTCATTGGAATACCCATATTTTGTTTCAATAATCGTCCCACTGCCCATACAAAGGTATTTTTCAATTCAAACGAAATAAATAAAAAAACTAGATCAAAAGTAGTGCACTTCCACTTGGATTCACATTTCCCAAACAAGACTTTCGCTCCTTTCTCCTGCTGCCTGGCAGCCACCCCTTTGGCTCCCTTACCAATCTAAAACTCGACTACCCATCGAACCGCGTTCAAAATCGAATTGTGCGGCAAATTAGAAAACATGTCCTTAATATCAAAGGACGCACTGATGAGGAAAAGAGTCTCGGAAAGACCTTTGTTGACTTCTTTCAATTTTCCAATTAACAGATCAGCGCTCCGCAGATTCAAATTGCTTTGAGCAGGCAGACTCCAAAGCATTGCGTTGACCGCCATTGAAATCACATGTCTTCCTCTGACTGCACATTCGGAATGTGAAGGGCAAATCGGCTTCCACCTTGTGATATCTTTATGCTTGGGAATGCAATAGGCAAACCGAAATTCACCGTTCTTCTCCCATCGCCCCACTGATAACAACTTCTTCTCGTGATATTCCCTAGCAGATACACCACCAACCTCTTCTTTTGTCCTGTCACAAATCTCGAATGCACGATTTGTCAAAAACAACTTCAGCATGCAACTATGATAAACCTGCAGACAACATATAAAGGTATCACCTACATTATGGTCAACTGGACAACACACAAGACCAGACAACATCTGTTGAAAAAAGACTATGTCATCCTCACAAACCCCAGTCGACACTTCCGAAATTTTGACGAAACATCCCTCAATGTCATCGGAAGAAATAGAAGAAACTGGAATAGGGGGAAGGGTAGGGTGCGTGGAAAAGGAGCGCAAGATCTGCGAGCACAGACTCTCAATCTTTTGCGTCTTACTCGGCCTAACTACGTTCCTCGAGTTATTCAACCAGTCTGGGATTGAATCCCCCGACTCTCCGAGCCGAAAACACACATGTCCATTCAAGCGAGGAAGAGAAGGGTACTTCACCTCATTACACGAACACTGTGGTTCCTCTGCACGAGCGAATTTTTAAAAATTATGAAGGATATCTCCCATGTTCTTATTTTTGCACCAAACGATGCGCATTCGTCGTACCAACATGTTCCTCCAACTCGCCCGTAGTTCCATACCATTCAGTAGTCGTGCACACAACTGCCGAATTCTCGCCTTACTAACCGAATCATCGTACTGAATTCGAACAACCACCCTCTTTCGAACTTGGATCCCAAATCGTGACAGAAAATGGTGTGACAGAACACATCGCAGTCGAAACCTCGTCCGTTTCTCACCGAAAGTTCGTACAGCGGTATAGGCTGCTATTAAACGGTCAAACTCCTACGAATTCAGATCTTTCATCGTACTCGGATTGCTCAGTAATTCTGCCAGGGGGGCTTTCAAAAGCAGGGACTGACTAAAAAACTGCTTGATCGGATCAAATGTCAATACCAATCCCCCTCTCAACCACTCTCTGGCATACCGAAGCTCTTTTACCCTGAGATTGGAACTAACGAAGCTTCCACCAAACAGTCTTTTAAGGACCTTCCATTTATCAACCAATAGACGTCCTGCGGTACAGTGAACTGTAATAGACTTAACCCGCTGTCCCATGCATCGTTTTAATATTTCTACTAAGCTAACATTGGGCGCACCATCAGTAGGGTGGAACCTACAGAGTAATCCTCCCCCTAGCTTCAAACCCCGTCCAAAATTATCCTTACTATCACATACGAACTGCTGCTTCTTCTTACTTCGCAATCGTTCCCGGAGTCCTGGTCTAGATCTACATGCATGCCGAGGCTTATCAGTAGTATTGAAGGCCGGACATAACTGTCGAATGAAAAACCTCTCTGTAATCGTCAAATCTTTACTCTCACAACAACACAATAGAACGATAAGATAACTTGAAATACCACAACGTCGCAACCACTGATACAACTTTTCATTTCGTTTACCATTCTCCAACGCCTGTCTGCTATGACTCCTGTACACATGTTCCTTCTATCGACTGTGCAAATCCCGACTAGTAATGCCGACGTACGTATGCTTAAACCAGGGCGACACAAACGCATATACGACTGGTCCCTCCCACGCATCAACTCCAAGCGTTCGTGAGGAAGAAAAAACCTCTGCAACATAGCCAAATAATCTACTGTACCACGGGATCAACCCAAGGAAAATAAGACAACACACTACGAAGCGCACCAGACAACTCAATTCCTTGCAGTGCAACCACACGACATTCTCGGCTCGTAAACGAAAACAAATAATGAACAGTCTCCATAACCAAGCCGCGCCGGGGGATGACCCTAAGATTCTGCCGAATTGCTCCCCCCATCTTTGCTTAATGCTTCGTCCGCATCAGTAACTTTGACCACATCATCAGACTTACCTAGGTCTTTGCTCAATTCGTCGTCGATCATGGCCTTTTCCGCCCTTGCCTGTGCCACCGCTTCCTTCGCTGCATCAAGGGTAGTATAAGTAACTCCCTCCTCTTCGCATAAATGACGAACAACATCTTTCTTCAAATTACGCAATTCCCTTCTGGTCGCTCTTAGAGTTGCTTCTCGATGGCTAACCAGAATCACCGGTGACGCTTCAGCAGGCTTCTTCTTCGCTGTCGACGCATGTGCCGCGGCATCAATCTTCTTACGTAAGTTTGTCCCTTGTATGAGACAGGTTTGCAGACGTGCCATTTCTTCTTTCAGTCGTTCCACTCCCTTCTCAGATTCCTTACGCCCATTAACCTCCCTAAACCTCATCTCCTTGAGAAGTTCGACTTCCTGCTTGTTGTGATTAACCAGCTCCTTCAGTCGCTGATCCACTCTTCCGGTAGCGTGAGGAGATACCATTGGTGTGGTTCTTGGCCGAACACGAGCCTCGGTGCTCGGAGTTTGTCCCACAGCGACGGAACCTCGCTTGTTTCCCGGTCGTAAAGCTTCGTTACGCCAGACTTCAGCATTGGCTTCGGCCACCTCACACTGTTTCTGGAGGGCCAAGATAACCTCTTCAAGTGTAGCTAAGCGCTTCTCCATGGTGATTTTTACAGCCTCCTGTTTGCGTCGAAGGCGAATAATTTCGTCTGAGTTACTAACCTCAGTGGAGGTGCTTGCAACATCGCGAGTCTTCTGTAGCTCATCAATCCTCAGCTTCAGCAGGCGCAGTTTCATCTTCATCCATGCTCTTCTTCTTCTCTACAACAGGTTCTTTTTGCTTACACAACATCTCGATCTGAGCTTTCAACTTTGCAATATCTTCTGTCTCCGCCGCTTTCTTCCCGTCAACGGCTTCGCGCACAACTTCCAACTTGGTGGCCAACTCTTGCTTGAATGATTGCTGGAATTCCTCACGATTTTTCTTCTCTTGTTCTCTTCGTTCTTCGTCTTCTCGTTCCCATTTCTTCCTTTCCCCCTCTTCACGCGCCGCACGTTCTCTTGCTTCATCCGCCTGGTGCTTGCTGTTGATCCGTGTAACGATCCCCTCCAACGTGCCGACTCGCTTACCTAACCCCGTCCCACCCCCATTGTATGAATTAGGATAGAACGGTGCCGATGTGCCGACATGCGACGAAGAGACAGGCGGATACGTAGCTATAGGTTGAACAGGTACCAAAGCGTTGCTAGTCTGCTGACCATTGTTAGCACGAGGATGTGGACAAAAACGCGAAATATGACCTAATTGACCACAGTTATAACAATCGCGGATAGGTGGAGCATAGCCATTAGGATTATGTGGTGCATTCCCATTGGGAACACCATTAGACGCCATATCGAAAAGACGAAGTCACTCAACTGTAGTATTATCCCTACGTCGGTTCCTCCGTGAGACAAGGTCGATCAAGCGTTCGCATGAACAACAGTATGTCAAAGTACGACTCATAGACCAGACAAAGTGAAAAAGCAAGACAAAGATAGAAAAAGTCAGGACGAAGACCATGCAAGAATACAGACTGACATGAAGACGACACGACCCAACTGACAGGTGTCCCCGAACGCGACTGTATATTAAGATAAAACATGAAGCACAGTAGCGGATTTGACCCAACAGGTTTCGCCTAGCCGCTCACTAGGCTCATCACGGACACACTGATTGCTAGGACTAATATACTATTTATCTAAGTTACAGCCAGCCTACCGTCACCTGAACCGGCAACTTCTATAAAAAATCTCCCGCCACTTGAAATTGACTCAAACCCCACCGCGCTCACAAAAAAACCTTCGAAACGGTTCTACGAAAAATCCTACAGTCCCTGAAAAACAGAGGCCTATTACGGCTCACGGTACCTCAAAATCGACTCACATATTCTCGAACAAACCCTTCACGACTTCTCGAACAGATCCTTCGCAAAACCTAACAACCCTTACCGGACAAAAGCGTCCAGACCCACACCCCCTTCCGGAGGCAAGCCTCTACAACTTGAACAACCTGGGCTTTCTCAAAAAAAAAAAAAAAAAAAAAAAAGGTGTCGTCTGCTAAAAAGTGGAATGATACACCCCCATACGTTTTGTCTTTTGTGCAT